AGTAATAGGAATAAAATCCTGTAAAAGAAGTCTGACAAGGCAGGATGTGTGGGGATCGTCTCTCAGTTCCTTGCAGAGCTCTCCATTACTGACATGGAGACCAGAGGTGACAAAAGCTCTAATTCTTTGTAATAACAATAGGTAAAGCCAGGCTGCATGCCTCAAAGTATTAAGTACCTAACAAAAATGCTGCTGTTGTATTGGTGTAGGAGAGAACTTACAGTCTATTAGTTTCATCCTAATTATGGGATGGTTTGTGAGTGGAAAAGGTTCTTTTAAGGGAAGACATGAAGCAGCAACCAAAGGAGGCGTATGGGCCCATACAGGTGAGAGAAGAGCCAGGCAGAAGGATGCTGAGAGTGCTGTGGAAGGGGAGAGGCAGGAAGACTGAGGATGGTTTCAAGAGCATAGGGCAGAGAGAAAGCTTATGGTACAGTCTGAGAATTTTGTGTGTCTTTCTGGGACTTCTGGACTTGAAGACACTGTCAGAGCAGGCTTTCCTTCGAGGGTCTGTGTGCATCCATGGGGCTCTGCATCCGTTAGTGGGGATGTGAAGACAGTTTTGGCAGTGTGTTCATAGAGCCTCTTGCTTCCTGGGAGTGCTCAGTGGATGTGACTCGTACTTGTGCACATATCTCTGTCCCAAGTATCCCAGGCAAAGAAATATTCTCATTGAATGAATCCAGTCAAAGAAAACACCCACAGTAGATGATTTTGAGGGTGGGATTTTGGGCAGACTGAGAGCCATTCAGTATTAACACAGGAAAAAAATCAGGGCAGAGGCAGAAGTTGCAGGGGCAAGGGATACAGAGCTCCTTGCCCATGAGCTGCACTTGGGGAAGGCAAAGCTGCTGCTCCCATGTACCCAGAGCCAAGGGCACCAGCGTATGGAGCAGCATCCTGCAGTGTCACATTATAAAATGGATCTGTTTTACTTGACTTCCCCCTGCCCTCTGAAGGGAAAGGGCATGGGAACTCTGATTTCAGTTTTCAACACATGAAGGTCATATTCTCCCAACTTGCACTTCATCACATGCAAATGGAATGCCCAAGATGTAAATCAGACCAAGTTCAAGCTGCCCACGATACTTCGTAGGGTAAGGAAAGCCATCACCGGCTACAATGGAGATTGAATGACTTCCTCTGACAACAGAGCACCAAACCTTTCTGCATCCCTGCTTTGGTCGGTGACCATGAGTAACCCTGTACCCCAGACCATTTGTTAAGTCCATTAGAATTGATCATAATTATTAATTGCAGTGTGGAATCCCCATTAACCACCATGTGAGAAAATGGACTCAGGGACTCAAGCACGACCTCTTGCAGCTTCTCAGCCTTTTCTTGGTGCTGGTGTGGCCTGAACTCCAGAGGGCTGTGGGAAGCATGCCATTTATGAGCGAAACTGCAGGAGGAGAAGACTGCAATAAGCTCTTTTGGCATTGGTATCTGCTTTCTTTTTTTCTTCTCATGGAGACCTGCCAGTGGGGATGGAAAGAAATGCTTCATTTCCCAGTTCTGCATTGCTGCTGCTCCAGGCTCAGCTTAGTCAGCATCAAATCACAGCTGCAGGGGCTGAGGGCAGAGGGACAGTTGGATGGACAGTGGCTTTGCTGCTCCTCTGGAGGGAAATGTCAGTGTCTGTCAACCTGGCCCTGTTTAATGGGCAAAGAATTCAGTAAAGCTGTGGGAAACCTCCTCTTGGCTGGCTGCATGGAGTGAATGGGCTCTTATTTATGCATTTATTTAGCTTATTCTTATGGGTGGGAACTAGCCGCTGAAAGGTCTTTGGAGCAGGCAACAAGGTCCTGTCCTTGTTTCTGGTCTCTCTGGGCAGAGTGGCAGGGCACAAAGGGCCTGTCCCACTCTTCAGTCTCACTGCCCCAGCATCCTCTTGGGAAGGTAAGGCCACTGGAGTTGGCCAAGTTCTGTCTTGAGCTGCATGAGCAGAAGAGGAGACTGGTGAGCCCATGCTCATGAATCAGCTGGTCCAAGGGTGACCAGCAGCAGCTGTGACATATGCCCTTGCCCGTGGAGTGAATGGCAGAGCTCCTCCACACACTTGCCATATCAGGAGTTGTAAGACTGATGAGAGGCTAAATGAGTCCCACAAGTTTCATTCAAGAAGGTGAGTGTCTGTGGCGTTAGCAGTTGTGGGCAAAGAGCCACCACTGGGAAAGGCCATAAGAGAACATACATAAGAGAAATTGTTGGAAATGGTATGGATTCCAACTGATGGACATGGTATAGGAGTCAGTCTTCTTTTCCAGCAAATCTCTAGTAGCCAAATTAGGCTCCCACTGCCATAATGTGATGTGTTTTCCTCTTCCAGCAGTGGTGATTCTGTAGAAACAAGGTGTGTATTTAAACACATCTGTTACTGCTCTGCAATATCACAGCAAGGAGAAAAGCAGCTACAGATGTATTGAGGTGGGCATTAAATTGGTCAAATAAGTTGATACTTAGATATAATGTGTGAAAAGCTGGGGGTTTTATCTAAATGTGGGGAAGAGGTGGCACAGATCGACTCTGTCTTTCTGTCTGATGTTTCTTCTTCAAAGCAGGGTTGAGACTGGTCAACTCTTCATGTACCTACCCAGCTTCACAGCTCAAAAATGCTGTTTGTGAAGCACTGAAGCAAGGCTCTTTCCTTTCTCTCCTTTTTCTTCAGCCAGAGTATAGGTTTAATGTCCTCAGTGTGTTGAGGTACATACAACAGAGACAGTGGTTGGAAAGCCGTGAGATTACAATTGTAAATTGCAGCAAAGAAGCCTTTTGGGAGCTGTTCTGTAATAGGATGCTTCAGTGACCCACCAGAAAATGGAAACAGCGATTATCTGGAGTCTCTTGGGTAAAAAAGCAGAAGGTGTATGCAAGGGTAGCACTGTAAAACAGTAATTTTAGACTTTAAGGGTACCTTGAATGTACTTGAAGAGAATTGAAGGTATATCCAGCAAAGTCCTTCTTTACTGCAAATCAGCACACTATAGGAAAGTGGTTATAAAACCATGTCTCCAGCGTTTTGCAGGGAGAAGCTGACATGGGGAAGTGTTGAGAGTGAATTTTTCTTGCCAGCTTTCTACTGGGTTCAGTGGTTATTCTGTGTACAGCATCATCTTGTCCTCCTTTGAGGGGAGGGTAGAAAATATAGTGCAGTCTCAACATGAGGTGGTGGAGTGCCATAGTGCTGAAATAGCATTCATCTTCCTGCTTCTTTGCCTTCTATTGAAATAGCTGCTTGATAATTTGCCCAGATTTTCACTTCTGTGCTGTAGATTCTATGTTCCTTCTGTTCAGTCTGATGGAATTAGATGCACTTGTGTTGAAGGAAGAGGTCTGCATGTTCAGTATAAAATCCCTTGCCAACGTGGGAAGATGCGAGGCTACATCATCCCAAAATGGCTCATGGTGGCAGTCGGTGGCATGCTGTGTGCAGCAGTCACAGGGCTTTGCAGAAGCAAATGTGCCAGTGTTGCTGCCACGTTTTCTTTTTGTGAGGTGCTGAATTCCTCCTTTTAGGATAAATGGGAAGATGGCAGGTGGGTTTGGGCTCACCTTGTCCACTTGTGTGTTGCTCCCCATGGCTCAGCTCCTGTGTATCTCACCTTGATGCAGGCACCTACCAATAGTGTGTAAATTAAACCTGTTCTCATCCTGCCTGTAATTAAGGAAGAATGAGGCTGGCCATGAAATGAAATGGGCTGGCTCTGGCCACGTGAGGTTTCCAGACCCTCCTCCTGGGGAGGTGGATGGTAGAGCTTCCAGCTTGAGTGGTCACACTTGGTTTGGACAGGCTGGATAATAGGAGCAGATTTTCCACATTTCAGTGGGTTTGGAGCAACTTTTCACTTCAGTTAAAAAATAATAAATTCTGTGATGCTGTGTTTAAAAAGTTAAAAACCAAAACAAGGTTTAGTTGATGCCAAATTATTTCTGGAGGACATTTCCCATCCAAATGCTCGATTTCTGTTGTCATTCACAATAAAGGCCAGATTTTGAAATCTGAGGTTTCAGTGAATGACACCTCCATCCCTGCTCGCTCCAATCATTAACTGTTCATGGTCCAACATCAGGGATCCAGTGACTGGTGTGCGGTGCTCCTGTCCCCTGAAATGGGTTCTCAGCACTGTCAGGGCAGAGGTAGATGGAGCCAAGCATTTCCCCAGGCAGCTTGCCAGCAGCGTCAGTGGTGGGCCTGCAGTTCATTGCCGAAGGAAGAGATGTGAGCAAAGCTGACTGAATTTAGCCAGGTCTTTTTATAACATCGTCTGAAATCTTACCCAAAAAAGGGATGATTTTCCAGCACAGAGGTTATCTCTGTGTTTTAGTCTCACTCCTGATGCATTAAGGCACTTAAGAGGAGGGGAGCACTGATCACTGGACCCTTAGGTCATGCTGGACTGGAGAGTCACCCAGGACCCCTGCAGGCCTGAAATGCCTCCCACAGCCTCCTTTCCTGTGCATGGCTTGTTCAGATGCCTCCTATCTTATTCTTCCTTACTGCTTTCCCCTCTGGCCGTTTTCAAATGTCCAGGACAGATCTGTGCTTAGTTTTTGGCTTCTTCACATCTCTTGCAATCTCCATCTTTGCAAATAAAACGGACCAGGAACAGCACAGCTCATGTCTATGGGGCTGAGGTTTCTTTCCTAGAGAAGGGCAACAACATCTGAACTGGCAGGTATAGACAGTCCTTGATATAGGCTGTTCGCAGGCAGGGTGTTGTATGGGAAAGGAGTGGCTGGTGCAAGCCAAGGTTTAGCTGGGGAACATGCTGGTAGTTCAGCAGAACTGCTTTATGAGGCCGTGCTCAGATCCACAAGCTCTGTCAGTGCAGATGCAGCCCAAGCTGCCATTCATCTCTGCTGCTGGTGCTCACGTAAGGCTGGCATTGAGGGGCTGAGCCTTGATAGCAGAAACTCCTTGCCCATGGTGTCTCAGCGCTGTTACAATGTCCACAGTTGCTGCTGCTTTACATAAACCTTCTTTTCTATGGAGGTGGCAGCTTACCTCTGGTGCATGGCCCAGCTTGTGAGCTGTCCTGCTGGAATGGCTCCTGTTCTTGTCTTCCTTCCAGAAAAGGAGAAGGAGAAGCTGGAGATGGAGCTGGCAGCTCTGCGCTCTGCCAACGAGGACCAGCGGAGGCACATCGAGATCCTCGACCAAGCCCTCAACAACGCGCAAGCCAAGGTCATCAAACTGGAAGAGGAGGTGAGGCATGGGCAGCATCTCTGTGCTCGGAGGACAGTGGTAGCTCATGGTTAGAGCTTCCTCTGTCCAAGTCAGTCCCTCCCAGCCATGGTGTGGTAGACCTTCCTGCTCCCCTTGTACTGGCCTTTTTACAGAGAAAATGCATAGTTATACAGCACTGAGCCAAACAAGCAAGCAAAGGGGACCACAACCATAGATGTTTTCAGAGCAGAGCCAGGAGCAGCACCAGACTCAAGTAGCTGGTGGCTGAGGTAATGGTCAGATTTAATAGAAGTATCAAATAAAAAGCTGACTACTCACTGACTTGGGACTGCAACACAAATACGTGGTGTTGGTGCATCCCATTTATCCCCAGATAATGCCAGGGGGCTTTTGAGATGTGCACAGCAGCACAGGGCTCAGTAACTTCTCGTCTAAACAGTGGTTTGAAATCAGACTGTTCAGGATTTAGAGGTACAAAGAGCTACAGGTTGTATCTGGGAGCTGAAAAAAACCCTATGATTCCATGAGTCCCAAGAAGTGCAGAACTTTCAAGAGGTCTTTAAGCAGTGATCCTACAAGCCTGATAGTGAAAACAGGTATTCAGATAGAAACACAAATCCTAGGAACAGAGAGCTCTTCAAACTGACAAGTACAGAACAATGTCTAGTAGCTGAAAGCTGAAGCTAGACAGATTCCAAGGAGAAATAATGCTCTGTTTGAATTGTAACAGTGATGCTGTCAGTTCTTTATTACTGGAGGTCTCCAAGTCTCCATTTATTGTGTTCCTTAAGGACCTTCGATCAGGAGGTGTGGGTTTAATACCTAGCTGAAAGTCTATGCATTCTGACTATTAAAACAGGCCTTTTTGGACCTAAAATCTCTGTCCATGGGACTAACAAAGAGGGAATATGTTTTATGGGTGATAAAAGAAACATGATCTTTACTATCTGAGTGGGCAGGTCACTGGGGAGGGGAGGGCCATTGATGAATCTCTATCCTAGCAGGCTGGGTAGAGGTTCAGGCTCTGGCACAGGCTGCTGGCATGATCTTAAGCAGGTCTGTTCCCTTTCAGTGCCACATTTCCCACCTGCACCCTCCCAGGGCTGGTCTGGGGGTGAATCACAGGAGCCCACTGGGGGCAGGGGCACAAGGGGTCTGTGAGGAGCAGGTATTTCCCCAAATACCTGGAAGTAACTTAAGTGCAGTTTATCTCCTTGGAAAGGTGAAATGTGAATTGACCTCGGTGGTATTTGAATGTGTGCTATCAGGGTATCCAGCATGCCAGACCCCCTGTTAGGATAACTAGTGGTTACTTAGAGTCTGGAAGATTTAAGGTACTCTCTCTCACTCACTTTGTGTGTGTGTGTGTGTGTGTATATATATATATATGTGCGTGTGTAAGTGCTGAAGGCATTGCTGTTTTGTTTCTGACCATTCTGACTTCCCACTGAGAAACATTTTAAGAACTCCATTCCCTCCAGTGGATACACTCAGCAGCAAGAAGAGGATCACATTAAGTTTAACTGCTCCTTTGTTAGTTAGACTAAAGCCTGCTCACCATCTCAGTGTATTTGGGGCAGTCCCCTTGGGGTTGCTGCAGGAGCTAGCATACCTTTAATCTGTACATAATTCACTCAACACTGTTAGCCTGAAAGGCAACCCGACGTTTTCTATTTGCATTTCATTACAAAGTGGCTGAATGAAGGAATGTTTTAGGTGGCAACACCTGCTTCTACAGTCCCAGCATCACACAGGGGATGGGAAGAAACACATTTAGCTGCTGGCTGCTCCGCAGACCGTCAGTGTGGTACTGGCAGTACCACTGAATACACACCAGTGAAGGCAGCAGAAGCATAGAAGCAGATTTCCAGGCAGGTGGTGTAAGAAGCCTCCCTGTTCCTGCTGGGCTGTATTAAATACATTTGCAGCTTTAGGGCTCTAAGAGCTTTGCAGCTGCCAGTTTTTAGTCTATTCACCCAACAGAAATGTGCTGGGGATCAGAGCTAGCGCCTTGGATTGTGGACTGGTGGAGCTGAGGAGAGGGCAAAGGTTCCCCTTTTGAGAGCTACGAAGCTCCTGCCTGGGCATCGTGGATGTTATGGAGGTGGTAACCTCCTGCCTGCGGCATGATAGATCTCAGAGGTGACAACATATGAAGGTAATGCAGTATTTGCCAGAGTGTGTCTGTCAGAGCCCTCAGCCTGCAAACCCATGTGGACCTGGTAGGGTTTAACTGGTTTTTCATTGTACTGGGAGCTCAAGTTAATTTTATGCCAGCTGTCACGTTCTAATTCCTCAAGGCAGTATCATGCCGCTCGGGTGGCTGCTGGCATGTGCCCAAGCTCCTGTGCTCCCTTTCCTTTGTTTTTGGCCTGTTTCATCACTAAATGAGAGCACCTTGCTAATAGTCTACAGTGTTTCTGGAGCTCGGTTCGACACACGTACAGCAGATGATGTTGAAGCTTTGGCCTTCCATCTTAAATCAGGAATTTTTACTATAATTTGGAATATATTGAAGGAAACACAAAATCACTCAAACGAAAATGACTGTTATTATTTTTATCATTACCAGAGCTCTACATCATGCCCTGCTTTGTAAATCCACACAGGTTTCTTCTACGACCAGAATATAATTAAGTTTTAAAGCTTTTAAAATCAAGACTTGAGAAATAAGCAGCAGCTCCTAAGTTGAATTGACATAAGATAGCATAAATGTGCATTATCCCGAGTGCCTGCTAGTAGAATTGAATTCAAAACCATGTAGGTGGTATTAGCAGCACACATCATCCGGGAGACTGCTGCTGGAATTGTCTGTCTGCTCCACACTTTGGATGGAAGACTCAATAATTGGAGAGGGTTCAGAAAGCAGTTGTAGCATTTATTTGGGGCCCAGAAGCTGTTCTCTGCTGTGAACGATGAACGTGAAGAGGTGGCTGAGCTCCGGGCCGTGCGCATGAGCATGAAGAAGGGATTGCTCTCAGCCAGACTAGATGTTGCTCTTTAATGTAAGAAGAAATAATGAGATGCAGTGTTTGGGGGTTGAAGCTGAGCAAATCAGGCCAGAAATAAAGAGTTAGTAATTAACACTGAAACAACCGACTTAGAGAGATAATAGGTTCTCCATCTCTGAAGTCTTTAACTCAGATCTCAAATAGCATAGACATTCATTGCTCAAACTGGAGTTACATTCCTAGCACAGATATTTTTCTAAGACCTACTCTTTACTCAGATTCATTTGCTTGGATCCTCCCCTTTTAGCCTGAGCTCTTCTTTCATCTTTATTTCCTAATCCCTGGGACAAGGGCAGTGTTCAGGCAAGCTTGCTGATCTTGTGAATATACGAATTGTTTCATTAAACGCTTCTTGCTCTGGTAGGTCACAGTTTGGAAACAGAACAAGAAGTAATTTACTTAAATTGCGTAAGAGAAAGCCAGATTAGGCATTAGGGTAAAAGTTTTCTGGCAATAAAGGAAAATAAGCCGTCAAGTAGTTTGCAGGGGGGTTGTGGGGTCCCTACCCCTGGAGGGTTTTGTAAACAGATTATACAGACATGTGCCAGGTTTTAGATAGAGTTGATCCTACCTTGCAGCAGGAGGATGGATTGGTGCCTCTCCAGGTGCCATCCGGCTTTTATGCATTTGAGTCAGTATGTCTGTGAGGCAGTGGAGCTTGGTATCATGTATTTCTGATTGCAGTCCACCTCCCTTATGGATGCACACTGCACTGACAAGCCCATTAAATGACAACAGTTTGTACTTCGTTTTTTAACCGTGTAGGTGAATGTTTTGCTTAAGAATCTATAGGCAGAATAGAAAATTCAGAATTGGCTCAGGAAGTTCCCTATACATTTATGAGTATGGGAACTGTCTTCTTGCATATCTCCAACTAAACTCATTGCTAAGGCAGTGGACATGTATGCATCGCCTCACCTGCACATGCATGTGTGAACAAAGGGGCTTAGAGCGCTGCTGCAAGGCCACATTCTGGCTGCTGCGGTACAGATGGACCCTGCAGCATCTGGCAGGATGTGGGGGAGCAGATGAGGTCTGCTACTGAGGAGGGACCCCAGAGGAGCCCCTTTCCCCTCTCCGATCTGCACTGGGGAAGCTGGGAGGTGGCACAGGCACCTTCCTACTGCCAAAATAGCACATTGGGCAGGAAGCCACCACTGTGTCTGTCCTGCCAAGCTGTGAGCTCCCGAGGAATGCAACCCTCGTGCTGCTGCCAGAGACTAGTGGGGATTATAATCTCATTAATTTTCATGAAAAGCCCTGGGAGCCATAGGCGTTAGACTGGATTACAGTGGGGCCAAGGAGGTCACGCTGCCAGTTGTTGGCTCTGGCTGGGGAGGGTTGTTTAGACCAGGCTTTGCTTTTGCTGTGAGCAAACCCGTGTTTCACTTCACCTGTGATGTGGATGGGTTTAGGGTGGCAGAAAAGGAATTTCAAGAAACAGTGGGTTTATTATCATTGGATTCAGTGAGCCCAACATCATGGAAGGGGAGAGCTAAAACCCAATCAACTTTGTAGCATGGGAGTCCTGGACAAAGCAGAGGACCCTGGCTGAAGGAGAACCTCACAGCCAGGGGTACCCAGTGCTGGTGTTTATTTGCTCCACATGCCCAGGAACAAGGCAACAAACTTCTCACTACATCCCAAGGTATTTAAAGGCATACCTTTTGTGGTTTATAGCTCCTATATCCCACACTGAGTTAATTTTAATAGTGATTTAAATACTTACAAAAGAGTTAGGCACAAGGATAGCCTGTTCACCCTCACCTTGCCATCTCACAGCGCATCTCCAGCCTCCCTTATTTACCTAGTTCCCCAGTGTTGACTGGGGTTTAATGTGTTTTTCTGCCTCCTGAGGGAGACTAGAAGTCCTAAAGAGGATCTTAGTGATCATGGCAATGACCTTGAGCATCCCTCATTAATCCTCAGGCTGCAGATGGGGTCTAGCAGAGGCTTGCAAAGCCTTTGTGATCCAGCATCCAAGCCCATTCACCCTCCCTTTCTGAGTCAGGGCATTAAGTCCAGAATGTTTTGGAGTCTTTGGGGGTTCATTGAGGTCTTTTGGGGTTGCAGCTTCAGTTTGTGTGTGCTGTTGCTTTTTCCACTACAAGGCAGGTATCTTTAGAACGGTAAATTTGCTTGTGAAGAGAAAATTCATGACAAAAGGTTGGGAGAGAAGAGGGGAACTGGGCTTCCTGAGGCTGGGACTGTGGCCCATGGGGTGAGCAGGCAGACCCCACTGCCACAGCCCCATGGGCAAGTTTTGGGGTCAGTGTCCATGCTCACCAGGGATGAGGGTGGCTCATGGACACCAAGGTGAGCTCACCCCTTCTCAGTGCCAGATTTTGGCTGGGAGTCCAGTTTGACCACAGGCTTTGCTGCCCATCCCAGTGCCCAGCATGTCCATCATCCGCACCCTCCTCTCCCCAGGAGCCCTCAAGCCTGCCAGCTCCTGCCATGAGCCCCAATCACAACACCCTATGGTGTCACTTGGTGACGTGCTTGGTGGCATGGTAGGAGGCCAGAAGAAGGGGATATAGCTGCTAAGTCCCTTGAATATCTGCAGTCCACTTGCAAATTCCTTTTGGGGTGTGATGTTTGAGCAATACCCCTGTATTGCAAAATCCTTGTGTCACGTTTAGCCTTTCAGTAATTGCACTGTATACCTAAGGAGGGCCTGGCTTTAGCTTCCAGCACATCTGTACACCAGCATGGCCAAGCCCAGGAGCAGAATAGAGCAGGTGGAATGCTTCTGGCTGCTGGCACTCTTCTTGTTACACCTGTGTTGAACAGATAGGCAGGGGTGGAAAAGAGACTGAGTGCAATCAGTGTCACCAGTCAATAAAACCCACTCCTACCTGAGGCCAGCCTGTATACTTGCCCAAAGAGTATCCACCAACATGATGGTAGGTAAATGGCCAGGGGGTTTAATGGCCAATGATACCCAGTGGTGGGAGATCTTGGCAGCTCCCTTTGAGAGCAGTGGAGCTGCCCCAGCAATGCTTGCTGTGCCCTTCCCTGCCAACCAAAGGGGCACCATCCTTCCCTAGAGAAGCTCTCAGAATGCCACAGCCATGCTCAAGCCCAGTGCTTCCCTGCAAGTGTGCCCAGCAGCCCAGGGTGCTCCCAGAGCCCCAGCACTACCGACCCTACAAGGATGCTGGGGAGGGACTCTTCATTAGGGACTGTAGTGATAGGACAAGGGGTAATGGGTTCAAACTTAAACAGGGGAAGTTTAGATTGGATATAAGGAAGAAGCTCTTTACTGTAAAGGTGGTGAGGCACTGGAATGGGTTGCCCAGGGAGGTTGTGAATGCTCCATCCCTGGTGGTGTTCAAGGCCAGGTTGGACAGAGCCTTGGGTAATATGGTTTAGTGTGAGGTGTCCCTGCCCATGGCAGGGGGTTGGAACTGGATGATCTCAAGGTCCTTTCCAACCCAAACCATTCTGTGATTGATTCTGTGACCCCTGCCCCTCAGCTGCGCAGGAAGCAGGCCTATGTGGAGAAGGTGGAGAAGCTGCAGCAGGCGCTGACACAGCTGCAGGCAGCCTGCGAGAAGAGGGAGCAGATGGAGCGGCGGCTGCGCACGCGCCTGGAGCGGGAGCTGGACTCGCTGCGGATGCAGCAGGTGAGGACAGGCTGGGCTGCATGGGGCCTTTGGTATTGCTTTGAAAGAGGGACAGTCATTTGCAGCCCTGCCTGGTGCCGCTTTGCTTTGGGGTTCAGGTCAATGGGCTTCCTTTCCTCTGGCTGTGTTGTGGCTGCGCCATCCCTGGCAGTGCTCAAGGCCAGGTTGGACGGGGCTTGGAGCAACCTGGTTCAGAGGAAGGCGTGTCTGCCTGTGGCAGAGGGGTAGAACTAGATGGGCTTTAAAGATCCTTTCCAACCCAAACCGCAATATGATGCTAACTCCTGATCTTCAGCAGAGGATGTTGGGGGGTGCAGGAGCTTGGACCATGTCTGTTCTGGGCAAAGCTGGTTCACAGAAACCTCTGCCCGTGAGAGATGTGGAGACAAGCAGTGTCATCTTCAGACAATAAATTATTTAAATACTAGCACAGCCCAGAATGGGCTAGAAGTGTTCATTTGCATTTCTGTGTATGTCTTCTTTTCCTTTTTGGCAGCCCTGTGCCCTTAGAGCGGTAATATTACGCTTGTATTTTATGCACAGTTACTCCTTTGTTATTCCTCCTCCATCCCCAAGTCCCAAAGTCCAGTCATCTGTGAAAAGGGGAAAGAAAAAAGCACAAGGAGTTTGCAAGGAGGATGATGTTCCAAGCTGCAGCCACAGTGAATGCCAAATACAGGGGCATAGGCTCCAGAGAGCGAGCAGATGTACTAAGGGTATCAAACCACTGGGGAAAAAACAGCAACATAAGCAAAACGTGATGCTCTTGTACCTCTGTCAATGCATGCACCTGCTACAGTACCCTTCCTTATTTATGAGCCATTAGTGGAGACCAAAGCAGCTGTTACACGGAGCTTGTGCTGCCACAAGGCAGACGGGCTGCTCCTGCTGCCAGGGTGCAACTGGGATATGGCTCTAAAGCCAGTATCTGTGGTTGGCAGGGTCATGAGGTGGCCAGACCTGAGAGCATCCCCTTCTCTCCAGCAGCACTGAGGCAGGGCAGATCCCCCAGCACCCTTCCAACAGCTCCCTGGAGACCCTTCCCATCCGTATTGGCTTCTTGCTGGTGTATAAAGGCTTTCTTGCCATGGCTGCCATGGGCTTGCTGTGCCTGTGTAGTTTGGGTAGCCCTTCTCAGTTGCGCGTAGCCTGCTCTCCTCCAGTTTAACAAAGAGACTACATGGAGGATGGCATGCTGATGCTGGTGCAAATGGAAAGACATTTGAGAAGAGCACAATTATAATTCAAGCAAAGATAAAACTAGAACTGGGAAAAGTTTTGTTCTCTCTGGACTGGAATATAGGGACAAATTGATATGTTAGGTAGGATGGGATGGACTGTTACCGAAGTCCTTGTCTTGACAGTTCAGGCTCTATCTGCTCATTTGGGTAGAAAATTCCTCTGTAACTTACAGATTCCTCCTTTTTAAAATACATCTTTTGGCACTGGGATTAACAATTGTATTTGGGGTTGCCATAGTTCTCAAATGCCTGCTCCAGTTCCTTCTAGAAAGCTTTAAGAAGAACGATGCTCTAACTTGTCTCTCCTCAGCTTCGAGAGGAACTTTGGTGGTTTTTTTCCTGTTATCATTTATACCTTTTGGTTTGTCAGCCATAATGCTGCAATCAAAATGCTCCAACTTTTTACTTTAGAGTTGAGTTCTCTGAGTTATCTCCTGATAACTCAGGTTACATATAATACATATATGTAATATATAATATATATGTTCTTGATTATATCTCCTGAAACGTTTTCTCATCACAGAGGAAAAAAAGATCTTATTTTTCTCTTTTAACTGGAGTCAGCAGAAGAGACACAGCACACAAGGAGACAGCCAGAATTTCTTCTGTTCCTGCCTTGTTGGTAACTGAGTCCAAATGGCAGATCTTCATTATCAGTGACGCACAAGCTAGGACCAAAACCAATTGAGCATGCAGGGCTGGCAGAGGTTTTGACTCAGAAGATGACAGGCACCAGTGATGTCCCAAGATGCCATTAACAGACCAGGACCGTGCTTCCAAACCATTGCCTTCCTGCCAGAGATCTGACAGTGTTTTTGCAGGAGTAGCCGCAGCTGTAGCTCCTAAGGGCTGTTCCATATTGCATTTCCAGAAAGCAGCTTCCAAATGCGTCATTACTGCACCAAAGGCAAAGGCTGCAGCCCTCCCCTGGTGCCTCTAGTTTGCCATAAGCAGGAGATAAATGTCTAGAAGGAGGAAATGTGGTTTGGAGAATGGAAATGCTGCAGTGCTCGCTGCAGTGTGATGGCACATGTTTGCCCTTTAACACAGCACTGTGCACTGTGGAGGGTAACAATTATCTTGCATTCTCTATTGGAAAAAAACCCATATTATGAATCAGTGGGTGCTCTGCACTGAATGTATAAAATTCTATTATAATGCTGACTCCTCTGGAAAAAAAAAAAACAACCACAATCAAAATGGGTTTGTTTTTCTTGTCAAATTGGCGCTTAGCTTGAATCACACTGTGTCTTAGTTCCTTTTTGTAACAATATATAATGCTACCTTTGTGCTTGAGAGAGGGACCTTTTAACAGTTTTTATTATCATTTTAGATCCATTAAATAGAGATCTTAAGCTGCAGAAGAGCCCCTGGGGTTGTCACTTCTGGGAAGTTGGAGAATGTGAAGGGTGTATTTGATAGGAATTGCTTATCTTCATAGGCATTCTCTTAAATGAGATACAGAAAACAGGAAAGTACACGATGATTGCCAAAGAGGTTAATACCGACCCTATTAAAAAAGAATCTGGGGTGTGTAATTACAGATGATGCGTGTATATGATAAGGTCCCAGCAGTACCACAATAGAAAATCACAGCAAGTTTTAAAGCTTCATTGTGCAGTGTTGCAGCATCTTCTGTGTAGAGGTTTTAGTAACGTACACAAGAGTACAAAAAATTTATATACATATAAATTCATGTAGTTCAGTGGTTTAATGCATCTTATTGTTCCTTGGGGAGTTTTAGGTGAGACAGTTCACAATGTTTATTCAAGAACCTAATTCTACACCTCTTTATAATTAACATGTAATAAATCCATCTTGTTTTTTTATTGTTTCCTCATAAGATACAATCCAAAGCTACAAGTGGAAGCCAAGTTTGCCACCACCCAAATGATAGCATTTCACAAGTGTTTCTTTTCTCTTTTGCAAAGGATATAAATATTGCTTTCACAGAGGAACCAAAAGCCCATATGCTACCTTACTACTGATAGCTGGATTAAGTTATGAAACAAAGTTAACCAAGACTTTGAGTACCTGAGGAAGCTGAAGCCCTCAAGGCAGTGAGAGAAGAGGGCCTCCATTGCAAATTTGTCTCTCTGTCCTTGATTTTACCTTTGGTTTTGCTTCTCTTTCCTGAAAGTACATGAGATTCCTGAAGAACAGCCCCATCTGAGATAGAGGATAGTGTCTCCTTAATTCACAATATCTATAAACCAGGAAAACCTGTTCTTTTCTCCTCCTGACTGACCTGGTGACTTTCAATGTTCTAATTAAGCAAGTAGTTGATGGGTATTGTCTTTTCTTCCAAAACATTTCTTCAAAATGATGCTTTTCAGTCTGCGAAAGTGATTGTCCCTTGCAATGATTGAGGAGATGTTTCAGAATGTTGCCTTGGTCTGAATTATGGATTCCCAATAAAGTTTTCTGCCAGAGAGAAAATAATCTCAATGATTTCAGTTTCCTTGCTGTGTTTGGAAAGAGATAGGTCACAGTTACAGAAGAGAGAGTCTTGAATGATGGGTCAAGAAATCCATGCAGGAACACAGGTTTTACCTACAGGAGTAGGAGCGGACAGATGCAAGTCATCTCCTCACGACAGAGCAGAATATCCATATGCCCTCCATAAAGGTAAGATGCTTTTCCAGCATGTATACAGACCAACCAGAGGCAGGCAGAGAGACTCAGGTATGCCTCCATAGATAACTGCAGCTGTAACTGTAGATGCTTACCTCCAAGGTCATGCTTGACAAACTCTCTGCACTGTTGACATCTAACTCTGGAGATACATACAACCCACAGCTGTCTGTCTTTCTACATCTGAGTTCTCCTAGGTGAGACTGTACACCTTGTAAAGTAAATGTGCTTCATCTAGTCTTGCCCAGGAGCCTTACTTGGTAGGTGTTCTCATAGCATGTGTGACAGGCTCCATGCTAAATTTAGGTTCCGTAAGAAAGGTGGTCAAAAGATGATGATCTTTAAAGGTCCCTTCCAACCAAAACCGTTCTATGATTCTAAAAGAACTGCAGGTGCCATCATGTACGACTCACAAAATTACTCAGAACTTCAAGGATTTGTCTGAAATACGAGTTTATCCTAGCAACAAGCAGCTAAAGTGTATCTTAATACTAGATTTTCTTGGAATACTGGGCTGGGACAATTTATCTCCAGTGGATTAAGTGTAAACTGCAAACAATTACGTGATAGGAGATAAAGGCGTTGTAGCAATAACTGTGAGTTCAGCAGTCACACCACAGGCATACTGGAAATATGGGGAAACAATGTCAAGTGTCTGTGCAAGGAGACTCTTGGTCACAAAAGCCGTGATGTAGAATAGCTCTGAGCAAATGTACTTGCTCCCAGATGCAAGTGACATAGGTTTTGGCAGGTGTGTGGGTAGTTGTTGCAGAACTTTGCCTATGTTGTAAATTCAACTGAACTGATTCCTCAACAGTTTCTCTGGATGAGCAGGACTGTGGCTTTCAATACCTGCCTGGGCTTTTCAAGGTGGCTTTGACATTTGTTTGGAGACCTGTGTAATACAGACAGAGACAGCTTCTGCTTTCAAACTGGGAAAGGACTTGTGTGATTTGGTTCTAATGTAATGGGTATTACAGGACCATCTGGATGGGACTAGGTGGTAAATAAATTCAGACATGAAATATTATGCACAAGGTTAATATGGAGGAAAACTATCTTTGTGTTTATAAACTCAATTCATCTGAGTAACAATAATGGTTTGGAGGATGCTGGCGTCCAGTGTGTGATAACTGAGAAAGTCATGATTTGACTGTGTATGTATAGGCAGGGACATCTCATATTTGACAGGGCAAGGGGTAATGCCTTCAAGCTAAAAGAGGGGAGACTGAGATGAGCTCTTAGGCAGAAGCTCTTCCCTGTGAGGGTGCTGAGGCGCTGGCACAGGGTGCCCAGAGAAGCTGTGGCTGCCCCATCCCTGCCAGTGTTCAAGGCAAGGTTGCACACAGGGGCTTGGAGCAAGCTGCTCCAGTGGAAGGGGTCCCTGCCTGTGGCAGGGACTGGAACTGGAGGAGATTTAAGGTCCCTTTCCACCCAAACCAGTCTGGGATTCCATGATTTGACTGACTCCTAAACTGAATCTAGTAACATATGCTCTGAAGACAATTTTCTCCCTGAAAGCACCCACATGCCTTCTTGGAAGTACCAACTACTATTTGAAAACACACACAGAAGTCTATCAAAGTGTCTAGTGTGAACGCGAAAGAGGAGGGAGCTATGGAAGGGTGCGTTTGGGCAAGAGT